TTTTGGGTCTTTTTTTTACCCTTTTTTGCCGTTTTTTCACCGTTTTTCACCCAAATTTCACGGGGGTTTTTGGGAATTTTTGGGATTTCCTCCATCCCCAAGAATTTTCCAGGAATTTCCCTCATTCCCAATAATTTTTCCAGAATTTTCTCCATTCCCGACCCCAAATCCCAACAAATTTTGGGACGATTTTGAGCCATTTCGGAGACGATTTTTTGCCGTTTTTCGCCCATTTTTCACTTAATTTCCACCCGATTTTCGCGGGGTTTTTGGGAGTTTTTGGGATTTCCTCCATCCCCAAGAATTTTTCAGGAATTTCCCTCATTCCCAAGAATTTTCCAGGAATTTCCTCCATTCCCCACTCCAAACACCCCCAGTTTTTGGGGCGATTTTGAGCCATTTCGGAGCCTTTTTTTTGCCGTTTTTCGCCCATTTTTCACCCAATTTCCATCTGAATTTCATGGGGTTTTTTGGGAATTTTTGGGGTTTCCTCCATCCCCAAGAATTTTCCAGGAATTTCCCTCATTCCCAACAAATTTTCCAGGAATTTCTCCATTCCCAACCCCAAATCCCAACAATTTTTGGGTCTTTTTTTTACCCTTTTTTGCCGTTTTTTCACCGTTTTTCACCCAAATTTCACGGGGTTTTTTGGGAATTTTTGGGGTTTCCTCCATCCCCAAGAATTTTCCAGGAATTTCCCTCAATCCCAAGAATTTTCCAGGAATTTCCCTCAATCCCAACAATTTTCCCCATCTGAATTTCATGGGGGTTTTTTGGGAATTTTTGGGGTTTCCTCCATCCCCAAGAATTTTCCAGGAATTTCCCTCATTCCCAACAAATTTTCCAGGAATTTCTCCATTCCCAACCCCAAATCCCAACAATTTTTGGGTCTTTTTTTTACCCTTTTTTGCCGTTTTTTCACCGTTTTTCACCCAAATTTCATGGGGGTTTTTGGGAATTTTTGGGATTTCCTCCATCCCCAAGAATTTTCCAGGAATTTCCCTCAATCCCAAGAATTTTCCAGGATTTTCTCCATTCCCAACCCCAAATCCCAACAAATTTTGGGACGATTTTGAGCCATTTCAGAGCCGGTTTTCGCCCTTTTTTTGCTGTTTTTCACCCAATTTTCACCTGATTTTTGCGGGGTTTTTGGGAGTTTTTGGGATTTCCTCCATCCCCAAGAATTTTCCAGGAATTTCCCTCATTCCCAAGAATTTTCCAGGAATTTCCCTCATTCCCAAGAATTTTCCAGGAATTTCCTCCATTCCCCAACTCCAAACACCCCCAATTTTTGGGACGATTTTGAGCCATTTCGGAGCTATTTTTTTGCCGTTTCTGGCTGCTTTTCGCCGGTTTTCACCCAATTTCCACCCAATTTTCACGGGGTTTTTGGGATTTCCTCCATTCCCCAACTCCAAACACCCCCAATTTTTGGGACGATTTTGAGCCATTTCGGAGACGATTTTTTGCCGTTTTTCGCCCGTTTTTCACCCAATTTCCATCCGAATTTCATGGGGGTTTTTGGGAATTTTTGGGATTTCCTCCATTCCCAAGACTTTTCCAGGAATTTCCCTCATTCCCAACAATTTTTCCAGGATTTTCTCCATTCCCAACCCCAAATCCCAACAAATTTTGGGACGATTTTGAGCCATTTCGGAGCTATTTTTTTGCCGTTTCTGGCTGCTTTTCGCCGGTTTTCACCCAATTTCCACCCAATTTTCACGGGGTTTTTGGGATTTCCTCATTCCCAAGAAATTTTCCAGGAATTTCCTCCATTCCCCACTCCAAACACCCCCAATTTTTGGGACGATTTTGAGCCATTTCGGAGACGATTTTTTGCCGTTTTTCGCCCGTTTTTCACCCAATTTCCATCCGAATTTCATGGGGGTTTTTGGGAATTTTTGGGATTTCCTCCATTCCCAAGAATTTTCCAGGAATTTCCTCCATTCCCCACTCCAAACCCCCCCAATTTTTGGGACGATTTTGAGCCATTTCGGAGCCCTTTTTTTGCCGTTTCTGGCCGTTTTTCACCCGATTTTCGCCGGGTTTTTTTGCGAATTCCTGGGCATTCCCCCTTCCCCGTGGGAATTCCGGGATCTCTGGGAATTCCAGGTGAACGAGGCGGAGCAGGAGCGGCTCTGGAGCGAGCGGGAGCACCAGCGGGTGACGCGGCTGTGCCAGGAGGCCGAGGCCGAGGTGCAGCGGCTGCAGAAATCCCTGCGGCGCGACATCGCCCGCAGCCGGCCCTACTTCGAGCTCAAGGCCCAGTTCAACCAGAGGCTCGAGGTACTGGGAGGCACTGGGAGGGTCACTGGGACCAGTTTGGAGCACTGGGGTTTGGATTGGAGCGGATACTGGGCATACTGGGCATACTGGGAGCACTGGGAGAGAAGGATCTGAGAGGAACTTGGAGGTAAAAAAGGGACTGGGAGCACTGGGGTGGACTGGGAGGGACTGGGATGGACTGGGATGAACTGGGATGAACTGGGAGGGGACTGGGATGAACTGGGAGCACTGGGAGTCCCAGTTTAGCCGGATACTGGGAGCAACTGGGAGGCACTGGGAGGGTCACTGGGACCAGTTTGGAGCACTGGGATTTGGATTGGAGCGGATACTGGGCATACTGGGAGCACTGGGAGCACTGGGAGAGGATTCGAGAAGATCTTGGAAGTAAAGAGGGAACTGGGAAGGACTGGGAGGGTCTGGGAAGGACTGGGATGGACTGGGAGGGACTGGAAAGGGACTGGGAGGGAACTGGGAGCACTGGGAGGGACTGGAAAAGGACTGGGAGCACTGGGTTTCAGTGTTTCCAACACAAATTTTCAGGATTTTTGGGAATTCTTAGGAATTCCTGGAATCTTCAAGAATTCCTTGGAATTGTTAGGCATTAAACCCACTTTTAATTAATTTTAACCTTTTTTCACATCTTTTAACCAATTTTTTTCCAATTTTCATCAAAATTTCAGTGTTTCCAACACAAATTTTCAGGATTTTTGGGAATTTTTAGGAATGCCTTGGAATCTTCAAGAATTCCAAGAATGCCTTGGAATTCAAGAATTTTTAGGCCTTAAACCCATTTTTTAATCAATTTAAACAGGTTTTTAACGTATTTTCACCAGATTTTCACCGATTTTCACCGAATTTTCACCGATTTTCACCCGGATTTTTGGACATTCCACGGATTTTCACGGATTCCCTCCTTTTCCCCCTTCTCCAGGAGCACAAATCCCGGGTGAATTCCCTGGAGTCGGCCGTGTCCCAGGCCAAGCTGCGCTACTCGGTGGCGCTGCGGAACCTGGAGCAGATCAGCGAGGAGATCCACGCCCGCAGGTTCCAGAGGATCCTCCGGAAAAAAAAACTCCGGGAAAACCCCCTGGGAGCCGAGGGCGGCCCCGGGAACCCCGAAATCCCCGGAATTCCCAGAGAAAGCCACGGAATTCCCGGAGAAAGCCGTGGAATTCCCGGCGGAAACCCCAAAGTCAGCGGAGGAATCCCCGGAATTCCGAGAGAAGATTCCAAAATCCGCGGAGAAATCCCCGGAATTCCGAGAGAAAACCACGGAATTCCCGGAGAAATCCCCGGAATTCCGAGAGAAAACCACGGAATTCCTGGAGAAATCCCCGGAATTCCGAGAGAAAACCACAGAATTCCCAGAGAAATCCCCGGAATTCCAAGAGAAAACTGTGGAATTCCTGGAGAAATTCCTGGAGAAACCCCCGGAATTTCAAGAGAAAACCCTGAAGTCCACGGAATTCCCGGAGAAATTCCTGGAATTCCAATAGAAAACCACAGAATTCCCAGAGAAATCCCCGGAATTCCTGGAGAAATCCCTGGAAATCTCGGAATTCCCGGTGAAAATCCCAAAACTCCTGGCGAAAATCCTGGATTTTCCCCTGAAATCTCGGCTGGAATCGGAAGAATTCCCAGAATTCCAGGCCAAAATCTTGGAATTCCGACTGAAATTCCTGATAATCCTGGAAATCCCAGAGAAATCCCGGCCGGAACGAACAGAATTCCTGGAATTCCGAGAGAAAATCCCGGAATTCCCAGCGAAAATCTTGGAATTCCTGGTGAAATCGGAATGGGCAGAATTCCCAGAGAAATTCCCAGAGAATTCCCGGCTGGAATGGGCAGAATTCCGAGAGAAAGCCTTGAAATTCCCGGAATTCTGAGAGAAATTCCTGGAATTCCGAGAGAAAACCCCGGAAATTTCAGCGAAAATCCCGGAAATTTCAGCTCGGTCTCCTCGGCAACGTGCGGAATTCCAAGAGAAATTCTTGGAATTCCCGGCGAAAACCCCAAAAATTTCGGCGCGATCTCCTCGGGAACGTGCGGAATTCCCGGAATTCCGTCGGAAACGCCCGGAATTCCGCGGGAAATCTCCACCTCCGGGGATTCTCTGTCGCTGCTGAGCCTGCAGACCATCGCCTCGGACCTGCAGAAGTTCGACTCCGTGGAACATTTGTCGGGAATTCCGGGAATTTCGGGAATTCCGGACGCGCTGAGCCTGCACAGCGAGGAGCTGGGGGAGGGGCGGGAGAGGCCGAGGGGTTTCCGGCACCATCGGAGCGTCAGCCTGTGAGGGGATGGTGGGAAATTTGGGAATTCTGAGGGGGAAAATCCCGAGGAATCCTGAGAAATCCCAAAAAATTCCGAGGAAATCCTGAGAAATTTGAAGGGAATCCCAAAAAGTCACAAGCAAATCCCGTAAAATGCTGGGAAATTCCGAGGGGATCCCAAAATATCCTGTGGAAATTCCAAAGAAATCCCAAAAAAAATCCAAGGAAATTCCCAAGAAAATCCCACAAAACCCAAAAAGTCCTGAAAAACCCCAAGGAAATCCCAAAATGTCCCAAAGAAATCCCATAAAATCCCAAAAAATCCCAAGGAAATCCCGAAAAATTCCAAGGTAATCCCCAAAAAATCCAAGGAAATCCCGAAAATTTTGAGAAATCCCAAGGAAATCCCATAAAATTCCAAAGGAAATCCCAGGAAAATCCCAAAAAGTCCCAAAAAATTCCAAAGGAAATCCCAAGAAATCCCATAAAATTCCAAAGACATTCCAAAGAAGTGCTGAAAAATCCCACAAATCCCCAGGGAGATCCCAAAAAAAAGTGAAAAATTCCCAAAAAAAGCCACAAAATTCCCATGAAATCCGAAAAAATTCTCACAAAATCCTCAGGAATCCCAAAAATTGCAAAAAAAATCCCACAAAAATCTCCAAAAAATTCCCCAAAAAATCCCCCCCAGAAATCCCAGGAAATTCCTGGAGGAGATTTTGGGAATAAATCTCTGGAATTTTGGGGATAAATCCTTGGAATTTGGGATTTTTTTGGGAATAAATCCCTGGAATTTTGGGGATTTTTAGGTTTAAATCCCTGGAATTTAGGATTTTGGGAGGGGGGGGAGGGATAAATCCTTGGAATTTGGGATTTTTTTGGGAATAAATCCCTGGAATTTTGGGGATTTTTAGGTTTAAATCCCTGGAATTTAGGATTTTGGGAGGGGGGGGAGGGATAAATCCTTGGAATTTGGGGAATAAACCACTGAAATTTGGGACTAAACCCCTGGAATTTGGGAATAAATTCTGAATTTTGGGATTTTTTGAGAATAAATCCCTGAAATTTGGGATTTTTTGAGAATAAATCCCCGAAATTTGGGATTTTTTGGGGAAAAAAATCCCTGAAATATGAAATTCTTGGGATTAAACCCTGGAATTTGGGGATAAATCCTTGGAATTTGGGGTTTTTTTGGGAACAAGTCCTTGAAATTTGGGATTTTTTGGGACTAATCCCCTGAAATTTGGGGATCTTGGGACTCCCACCTCCCAAAATCCCAATTTCCCCCCAGAATTCCCAATTTTTTTTTTTTGGGATAATTCCCCTTTCCCAAAATGGCGCCAAGAGCCCAATTGCACTAAAGGGGGGGTCTTGGAATTTTTGGGAATTTTGGGAATATTTGGGGGTGGGGCTGTGATGAGAACCCCCCTGGTTCGAGGCAGCCCCGGAAATTTCCACGAATTTCATCCAAAAATTCCCAAAAAATCCTCCAGGAATTCCGGGAAAATTCAGGAATTTGGGAATTTTGGGGGGGGAAAAAATCCCGGAAAAATGTTGATATCAATAAAATTCCTTCTTGTTGTAATTCCGAGTTTTTCTTTTCCTCTCATCATCCGTGGATTTTTTTGGGATTATTCTCCTTTTTTTTGGGAATTTTTTGGTGTTTTCTCGTTTATTTTGGGGGATTTTCCCAATTTTTTATCCCAATTTTTTTTCAGCTTCATCCCAAATGGTTTTTGCTTGGGAAAATCTCAAAAAAAAAGGGAAAATCCCCCCAAAAAAACGGGAAAACCACCACAAAAAAGGGAAAATTCTCCCCTAGAAACGGGAAAATTAAAAAAATCAGGAAAAATCACCCAAAAACAGGAAAATTCTCCCAAAAAAATAGGAAAAAATCCCAAAAAAATCTGGGAATAAACCCTCAAAAAATGGGAACAATTTCCCCCAAAAAAGGTGGGGAAAACTTGGGAAAAAAATCACAAAAATGTAGGAAAACCCCCAGAAAAAAAAAGTGAAAATCCACCCAAAAAATTGGGAAAACCACCCCAAAAATGGGAATTCCCACCCAAAAAATTAGGAATATCCATATTTTTCCACATTTTCCAACATTTCCCCAAATTTTCTTTTATTTTTCCACATTTTTCCCATTATTTTTCCACATTTATTCGACTTTTTTCAATTATTTTTCCGTTACTTTTCCATATTTTCCTTTATTTTTCCATTATTTCCCCACATTTCTTCCATATTTATTACACATTTTTCCACATTTTCCAAATTTTCCTTTATTTTCCCAATTTTTCTTTATTTTCCCATATTTTCCACATTTTCCATTATTTTTTCCATTATTTTTTCCGTTCTTTATTCCACTTTTTTCCATTATTTTCCCACTTTTTTCCCCATTTCCCGACATTTTTCCATTATTTTTCCATTAATCTTTCTACATTTTCCCACATTTTCCCACTTTTCCTTTATTTTCCATTGTTTTTTCCATATTTTTCCACATTTTCTCCATTATTTTCCCACATTTTTTCCATTATTTTTCCATTATTTTCCCACATTTCCCAAATTTTCCCAAATTTCCCCCAACAACCCAAGGCTGGGTCTTGAGATTGACCAACCCCGGTTGGGCACTGGGAGCGCTGGGAATGATGGGAATTCCCCCTCCAGTCATTAATTAGCCAATTAATCATCCCCTAATTAATCAGAGATCGTTAATTAGCCATGAGAATTCAATTGGCCCACCCCAAGGTTGGGTCTTGGGTTGGCCAAGCCCAGTTGGGCACTGGGAGCGCTGGGAATGATGGGAATTCCCCCTCCAGTCATTAATTAGCCAATTAATCATCCCCTAATTAATCAGAGATCGTTAATTAGCCATGAGAATTCAATTGGCCCACCCCAAGGTTGGGTCTTGCGTTGGCCAATCCCAGTTGGGCACTGGGAGCACCAGGAACGCCGGAAACCCACTGGAACCATGGAATGATGGGAATTCCCCAAGTTCCCACTTAATTAATGAATGAATTCACCCCTAGTTAATTAGAGATCGTTAATTAGCCACCAGATTTGGAGGAGGAGGAGGAGGAAGAGAAGGAAGGAGAAGAAGAAGAGAAGGAAGAGGACGAGAAGGAGGAAGAGGAGGCAGGGAAGGAAGAGGAAGAGGCGGCGGCGGCGGCTTTGCCGTGGGTGCGCTGGTGCCGGTTGAGGTGCGAGCTGCGGCTGAAGCACTTCCCGCACTCGGGGCACTTGTAGGGCTTCTCGCCGGTGTGGACGCGCCGGTGGATGGTGAGCTCGGAGCGTTGGATGAAGCTCTTGCCGCACTCGGAGCACTGGAAGGGTTTCTCGCCCAGGTGGATCCGCTGGTGCTTGATGAGGTTGGAGGAGACGCTGAAGCACTTGCCGCACTCCTGGCACTTGTAGGGTTTCTCGCCGGTGTGCATCCGCCGGTGTTTGGTGAGGTCGGATTTTTGGATGAAGCCTTTGGAGCAATCGGGGCATTTGTAGGGTTTCTCGCCCAGGTGGGTGCGCTGGTGTTTGATGAGGTTGGAGCGGACGCCGAAGCTTTTCCCGCACTCCGGGCATTTGTAGGGTTTCTCCCCCGTGTGCATCCGCCGGTGTTTGGCCAACGCCGAGTTTTGACCGAAGCTCTTGCCGCACTCCGGGCACGCGTAGGGTTTCTCGCCGGTTTGGGTGCCTTGATCCTTCAAATTCGACCCTAAATTCGAGCCCAAACCCAAATTTTTCCCGCACTCGCCGCATTTCTCCGCCCCGGCGCCGCGATCGCCGCGCGGCTCCCCCGAAATCCGGCAGCGTTTTTGGAAGCTTTTCCCTCCTTTTTTCCCCTCGTTTCTGCCGCATTCCCGGCACGGCTCCCGGTGGATTTTCCGGTGCCGTTCCAAGTGGGAGCTTTGGGAAAAACTCTTGCCGCAGCTGCCGCATCGGAAAGGTTTCTCCCCCATGTGGATTCGCCGGTGCCGATCCAGGTGGGAACTCCAGGAAAAGCTTTTCCCGCACTCCCGGCACTCGTAGGGTTTGCCGGGAGCGTGGCCGCGCCGGTGCTGCGCCAACGCCGCCGCCACGCCGAAACCCTTCCCGCATTCCGCGCATTTGTGGGGTTTCTCCGCCGCTTTTTTGGCCGTTTTGGGGTTTCTCGGCGTTTTAGCCGTTCCGCTTTCCGGCGCTTCCGGCGATCCCGCCCCGCACTCGGCGCAGCGCCCGCCGGATTCGGCCGCGGCGTGGGTTCGGCGATGCCGATCCAGGTGGGAACTCCAAGAAAAACTCTTCCCGCACTCCGGGCACTCGTAGGGTTTCTCGCCGGTGTGAATCCTCCGGTGCCGCTCCAGGTGGGAATTCCAGTTGAATCCTTTCCCGCAATCGCCGCATTTGTAGGGTTTCTCCTCCAGGTGAAGCTTTTGGTGCTTCACCAAACCCGAACTGGCCGGGAAACTCTTCCCGCAAACCCCGCACCGGCACGGCGCCGCGCCGGCGTGGATCCGTTGGTGCTGGATGAACGCCGAGCCGACGCTGAAGGATTTCCCGCAGTCGGGGCATTTGTAGGGATTTTCACCGGAATGCCGGCGTTGGTGGGTCACCAAACTGGAGCTCAACCGGAAACTCTTCCCACATTCCGGGCATTTATGGGGTCGTTCCGTCCCGCGCCGGCGTTTCGGCAACGCCAAAGCTTTGCCGCAGTCGTGGCAGCGGAGGTTGCGCGGTTGGAATTTCTTGAAGCCGGATTTTCCTTGGCGTTTTCCCGGCGCTTTTCGGGGCTGGGGTTCCGCTTTCGGGGTCTCGGCGGTGCCGGGTTTGGCGCCGGTTGGGCTCGGGGGGGATTTGGGGTTCGGCGCCGGCGGCGTGCCGGGGATTTCGGGTTTGTCCAGAGGGTCCGGAGGCGGCTCTTCCTCATCATTGTCGCTCGGCGAGGCTGGGACGGCGTCTGGAGGGGGGAAAAGGGGGGATTTGGGGGTTTTTTGGGGGGTTTTGGGGTCTTGGAGGAGTTTTTGGGGTCTTGGGGGGATTTGGGGTCTTGGGGGGATTTGGGGGTTTTAGGGGGATTTGGGGATTTTGGGATTTTGGGGGGATTTGGGGTCTTGGGGAGTCTTTGGAGTCAGGGGGAACTTTCGGGATCTTGGGGGGATTTTGGGGTTTTGGGGATTTTGGGGTCTTGGGGAGAATTTGGGTCTTGGGGAACTTTGGGGGTCTTGGGGATTTTTGGGTGTTTGAGGTCGTGGACGGGTTTGGGGTCTTGGGGGATTTTGGGGTCTTGGAGGAGTTTGGGGTCCTGGGGGGATTTTGGGATTTTGGAGGGATTTGGGGATTTTTGGGGGATTTTGGGATTTTTGGAGGAGCTTTGGAGTCTTGGGGAACTTTGGGAATCTTGGGGGGATTTTGGGGATTTTGGGGTCTTGGAGAGGCCTTGGGGGGATTTGGGGATCTTGGGAGGATTTGGGGATCCTGGGGGGATTTGGGGATCTTGGGGGGATTTTGGGGATTTTGGGGTCTTGGAGAGAATTTGGGTCTTGGGGAACTTTGGGGGTCTTGAGGGGATTTGGGGATTTATGGGGTCTTGGAGAGGCCTTGGGGGGATTTGGGGATTTTGGGGTCTTGGAGGAGTTCGGGGTCTTGGAGGAGTTCGGGGTCTTGGAGGAGTTCGGGGTCTTGGAGGAGTTCGGGGTCTTGGAGGAGTTCGGGGTCTTGGAGGAGTTCGGGGTCTTGGAGGAGTTTGGGGATTTTGGAGGGATTTGGGGATTTATGGGGTCTTGGAGAGAATTTGGGTCTTGGGGAACTTTGGGGGTCTTGGGGATTTTTGGGTGTTTGAGGTCGTGGACGGGTTTGGGGTCATGGGGGGCTTTGGGGTCTTGGAGGAGTTTTTGGGGTCTTGGAGGAGTTCGGGGTCTTGGAGGAGTTTGGGGATTTTGGAGGGATTTTGGGATTTTGGGACATTTGGGGTCTTGGAGAGGCCTTGGGGGGATTTGGGGATCTTGGGAGGATTTGGGGATCCTGGGGGGATTTGGGGATCTTGGGGGGATTTTGTGGAATTTGGGGTCTTGGAGGGGTTTGGGGTCTTGGGAAAATTTGGGGTCTTTGAGGGGTTCAATGATTTTGGGGGATTTGGGGTCTTGGAGGGTTTTTGGGACTCTGGAAGGGTTTGGGGTCTTGGAGAGGCCTTGGGGGTCTTTGGGGATCTTGGTGGAATTTGGGGATTTTGAGGACTTGGAGGAGTTTTCAACTGGAAGACCCCAAACCCATTCTTGGTTGCGTTGGCCAACTGGAAGAGTCCAACCATGCCCTAGGTTGGGTTGACCAAGTAGAGGAGCCCAACCACGCTCTTGGTTGCGTTGGCCAACCACGCTCTTGGTTGCGTTGGCCAACTGGAAGAGTCCAAACCCGTTTTGGGTTGCGTTGACCCAACTGGAAGATCCAACCCCCGTTGACTCACCGGCGCCCAGGCCGCGTCTCCGGTGCGATTCGGCGAAGGCGGTGATCCGCGGCCAGCTGATGGCGATCTCCTCGGCTTTTGGGGGAAAAATCGGGAATTTTTGTCAACTTTGTGAATTTTGGGAATTTTCCACACCCCGTTTTCCCACCCCGGCTCCGTTTCGGGGTGAAATCCCCAAATTTTGGGCGAATTTTGTTGATTTTTGGGTGAATAAATTTCGCTGATTTTTGGGGGGACAACTGGACATGACTCAGACCCCAAAATGTGGGAAAATCCAGGAAAATCCGTCCGGAATTGGGGTTTTAATTCCGATTTTTTAATTAAACCCAATTAATTTCAATTTTGGGCTTAATAATTAAGGAATTGTATCCCAAATTAAGGAGAAATCCAAGGAAATTTGGGGTCTTACCCAAGGAAATGACGCTCTCGTAGCTTTCCTGCATCTCGTCCCGGAATTCCGAGTTGATCCCGGATTTTTTTGGGGAAAAATCCCAAATTCCTGGAATTCCGACAGCTCCTGGTCAGATTTTGGGATCCTGGAGGGGAAAAAAAAAAAATCTTTAAATTTGGGTTTTTTTTCATGTTTGGGGAATTTTTTTTTGGGGGGGGGGTAATTTTTTAGGGATTTTTTTTTTAATTTTTAGGGATTTTGGGGAAAATTTTTTGGGAATTTTTAGGTAATTTTGGGGAATTTTTAGGGATTTTAAAGGGAAGTTTAAAGGATTTTAAAAGGGAATTTTAAAGGAATTTTTGGAGATTTTGAAATAATTTGGGGGAATTTTTGGTGGATTTTTTTGGGCAATTTCGGGGAATTTTAGGGATTTTTGGGGGGAATTTCTAGGGATTTTGGGGGGAATTTTTAGGGATTTTTTTTGGGATTTTTAAGGGAATTTTTGGGGAATTTTCAAGGAATTTTGGGGGTCCAGGGCTGGGGAAACCGAGGAATTTTAGGGAAGGGACACCCCCACCCTAAATTCCCACCTTAATTCCCACCCAAATCCAGGTTTTTTAAATTTTGGGAAGGGTTTGAAGAAGGATTTGGTGTTTCCATGGAAAAAAAAAAAAATGCAGGGGATGAAGGGGTTAAAAAACCCAATTTTTAAATGGGGGGGGGCGCTGGAATTTAAATAAATTTAAAAATGAAAAATGGGAATAAAAGGGGGAAAAACATGGAGAAAACGGGGGGAAAACGGGGAAAGAAAGGGGGGAAAAAATGGGGAAAATTGGGAAAAAAACGAGGGAAAAATCCGGGAAAAAAAACCGGGAAAATGGGGGGGGATAAAAACAGAGGAAAAGGGAAAAATAACGGGAGAAAAAGCCTGGAAAACGCGGCAGAAAATGGGGAAAAACGGGAAAAAATAAGAAAAATGGAGGAGGGTCTCGGCCGGGATGCGAGGACAGAGAAAAATGAGGATCAAAAACACAAAAAAAACGGATTTTGGGGGGAATTTTGGGGCAGAAAAAGCGGATTCGGAGCAGGGGAGGCGGTGAAAATAATCGGGAATTCAAGGGTTAAAATCCCAAGGGAATGAAATCCCGGTGTTTTTTATTTTTAATTAATTTTTTTAAATAATTGTTGCCATCTCTGGGCGCGGTCGGGAAGGGATAAATTGGAGGTTTTTTTGGGTTAAAAAAAAAATAAATAAAATAAAAAGCGGAATTTTGGAATTTTTATTACCTGGATGCCGGAGGAAAAGCTGGAAGAGATCTTGAAATTGGGGATTTTTGGGGTCTTTAATTAGTGGGAAAATGGAGGATTTGGGGGTCTCTAATTAAGGGAAAAAATCGGGATTTGGGGGTCTTTAATTTGTGAGAAAATGGGTTAGGGGGGGGCCTGAAATTCCTGCAAAAATTGGGGATTTGGGGTCGTTAATTTGTGGAAAAAATGGGGGATTTGGGGTCTTTAATTATTTGGAAATTTGGGGAATTTGGGGTCTTTAATTCTTGGAAAAAATGGGGATTTTGGGGTGTTTAATTCATGGAAAAGTCGGGATTTGAGAGTCATTAATTCCTGGGAAAATCAGGATTTTGGGGTCTTTAATTCATGGAAAAATTGGGGGGCTTGGGGTCTCTAATTAGTGGAAAAATCAGGATTTGAGGGTCATTAATTCCTGGGAAAATCAGAATTTTGGAGTCTTTAATTCATGGAAAAATTGGGGATTTGGGGTCTTTAATTCCTGGAAAAATTGAGGATTTGGGGGATTTAATTTGTGGAAAAATGGGGGATTTGGGGCCTTTTATTCCTGGAAAAATTTAGGATTTTGGGGTCTTTCATTTGTGGAAAAAAATGGGAATTGTGGATCATTTAATTCCTGGAATTTTTTGGGGCTGGAATTTTAGGGGCTGGAATTTTTTTGGGGTCTGGAATTTTTTTTGGGACAGAATTCTTAAGGGCTGGAATTTTAAGGTCTGGAATTATTTGGGGACTGAATTTTAATTTTTTTGGGATTTTCCAGGATCCCGGAGCGGGCGATGGATCCGTGGGGGGAGGAGGAAGAGGAGGAGGAGGAGGCGGAGCCGGAGGTGATTTTTGGGGATGAGGGGGAGGAAGATCCCTACGATCCCAACGGAATCCAGGGTAAGTTTGGGAAGGGGGAAAAATCCCATAAATCCCATGAAAAATTCCCATAAATCCCATTAAAAATTCCCATAAAACCCATTAAAAATTCCCATTAATCCCATGAAAAATTCCCATAAATCCCATTAAAAATTCCCATAAATCCATGGCCTCCATCCCAATAGAATTCAGCCTCCAAATCCCGTGGGAATTCAATTATTTTCCCATTAATGGGATTTTTTTCCCCTCATTTCTTATCCCAAAAATCCCATTTCCCGTGGGATTTCGTCAGGGAATTGAGGGGAAAAAATTGGATTAAAATTGATGGGATCGATGCCTCTGTTCCCATCCCCATGGAAATCTCATAAAAATGGGGAAAATTCCAAAAAAAATGGGAAAACCCCATAAAAAATGGGGAAATCCCATGGGAATTGGGAAATGATGAAAACCCCACCAAAAAAAGGGGGAAATTCCACAAAAAATTGGGGAAATGCCACAAAAAATGAGGAAAGCCGCATAAAAAATGGGGACAAATCCCGTAAAAAATAGGGAAAACTTCACAAAAATTGGGGAAATTAAGAGGGAAAACCCCATAAAAAATGGGGAAATCCCATGGGAATTGGGAAAATCCCACAGGAAATGACAAAAACCCCACCAAAAAAGGGGAAAATTCCACCAAAAATTGGGGAAAACGCCACAAAAAATGGGGAAAACTCCATAAAAAATGGGGACAAATCCCATAAAAAATGGGGACAAATCCCATAAAAAATGGGGAAAATTCCACAAGAAGCTGGAAAAACCCCACCAAAAAATGGGGACAATCCCAGAAAAACCCCCCAAAATTCCCAATTTTCCCCCTCTCCCAAACCCCAGGAACGCCCGACTCGAACCCAACGTTGGCGGCGGCTCCGGAAATCGTGGAATTGGATCCCGGCGCCCTCTTCCCCAACCCCGACCTTTCCGAGCGGGAAACTTTCCGTTGGACCGTGGTTCAACAAATCGACCCCGGGACGTCGTCGAAGAGCCGGAAGAGGAGCCCCAAATCCCAAAGTTTCTCCAACTTCAAGAGCATCATCGTGCTCCAGAAGAGCTACGAGTGCTCGGAATGCGGCAAGAGCTTCAGCTGCAGCTCCCATTTTTCCAAACATCGCCGGACGCACACCGGGGAAAAACCGTTCCGGTGTTTCCACTGCGGGAAGAGCTTCAACGTCTCTTCCAACCTCTACCGGCACCAACGCGGCCACGGCGGCGCCGAATCGGCGCCGGAAAAGCCCCGCGGGCTCCCCTATAAATGTCAGGAATGCGGGAAGAGCTTCCGGCGGAATAAAGAGTTGGCCACTCATCAACGGCTCCACACCGGGAATTTGCCCTTCCAGTGCGGCGACTGCGGGAAGAGTTTTTCCTGGAGCTCCCATTGGCTTCGGCATCAACGGATTCACACCGGGGAGAAACCCTACGAGTGCCCGGAGTGCGGGAAGAGTTTTTCAAGGAGTTCCCATCTTTACCGGCACCAACGCGGCCACGCCGGGGGTCGTTCGTACATCTGCACTTCCCATAAATCCCATGAAAAATTCCCATAAAACCCATTAAAAATTCCCATTAATCCCATGAAAAGTTCCCATAAATCCCATTAAAAATTCCCATAAAACCCATTAAAATTTCCCATAAATCCCATTAAAATTTCCCATAAATCCCATGAAAAATTCCCATTAATCCCATTAAAAATTGCCATTAAACCCATTAAAAATTCCCATAAATCTGTGGCCTCCATCCCAATAGAATTCAGCCTCCACATCCCGTGGGAATTCAATTCTTTTCCCATTAATGGGATTTTTTTCCCCTCATTTCTTATCCCAAAAATTCCATTTCCCATGGGATTTCGTCGGGGAATTGAGGGGAAAAAATTGGATTAAAATTGATGGGATCGATGCCTCTGTTCCCATCCCCATGGAAATCTCATAAAAATGGGGGAAATTCAAAAAAAAAATGGGAAAACCCCGTAAAAAATGGGGAAATCCCATGGGAATTGGGAAATGATGAAAACCCCACCAAAAAAAGGGGAAAATTCCACAAAAAATTGGGGAAATGCCACATGGCCTCCATCCCAATAGAATTCAGCCTCCACATCCCGTGGGAATTCAATTCTTTTCCCATTAATGGGATTTTTTTCCCCTCATTTCTTATCCCAAAAATTCCATTTCCCATGGGATTTCGTCGGGGAATTGAGGGGAAAAAATTGGATTAAAATTGATGGGATCGATGCCTCTGTTCCCATCCCCATGGAAATCTCATAAAAATGGGGAAAATTCCAAAAAAAATGGGAAAACCCCATAAAAAATGGGGAAATCCCATGGGAATTGGGAAATGATGAAAACCCCACCAAAAAAAGGGGGAAATTCCCAAAAAAATTGGGGAAAATCCCAAAAAAAATGGGAAAACCCCATAAAAAATGGGGAAATCCCATGGGAATTGGGAAATGATGAAAACCCCACCAAAAAAAGGGGGAAATTCCCAAAAAAATTGGGGAAAATCCCAAAAAAAATGGGAAAACCCCATAAAAAATGGGGAAATCCCATGGGAATTGGGAAATGATGAAAACCCCACCAAAAAAAGGGGGAAATTCCACAAAAAATTGGGGAAATGCCACAAAAAATGAGGAAAGCCGCATAAAAAATGGGGACAAATCCCATAAAAAATGGGGACAAATCCCATAAAAAATGGGGAAATCCCATGGGAATTGGGAAAGTCCCACAGGAAATGACAAAAACCCCACCAAAAAAGGGGAAAATTCCACCAAAAATTGGGGAAAACGCCACAAAAAATGGGGAAAACTCCATAAAAAATGGGGACAAAACCCGTAAAAAATGGGGAAAACCTCACAAAAATTGGGGAAATTAAGAGGGAAAACCCCATAAAAAATGGGGAAAACCCATGGGAATTGGGAAAATCCCACACGAAATTATGAAAACCCCACCAAAAAAGGGGAAATTCCGCAAAACATTGGGAAAATGCCACAAAAAATGGGGAAAACTCCATAAAAAATGGGGACAAATCCTGTAAAAAATAGGGAAAACGTCACAAAAATTGGGGAAATTAAGAGGGAAATCCCCATAAAAAATGGGGAAATCCCATGGGAATTGGGGAAATCCCATGGGAATTGGGGAAATCCCAGGGGAATTGGGAAAATCCCACAGAAAATTATGATAACCCCACCAAAAAATGGGGAAAATTCCACAAAAAATTGGGATAACGCCACAAAAAATGGGGAAAACTCCTTAAAAAATGGGGATAAATCTTGTAAAAAATGAGGAAAACCTCACAAAAATGGGGGAAATTTTAAAAAAAATGGGAAAACCCCATTAAAAAATTGGGAAATTCCATGGGAATTGGGAAAATCCCACAGGAAATGACAAAAACCCCACCAAAAAAGGGGAAAATTCCACCAAAAATTGGGGAAAATGCCACAAAAAATGGGGAAAACTCCATAAAAAATGGGGATAAATCCCATAAAAAATGGGGAAAATTCCACAAGAAGCTGGAAAAACCCCACAAAAAAATGGGGAAAATCCCAGAAAAAACCAGGAAAAACCCCCAAAATTCCCAATTTTCCCCCTCTCCCAAACCCCAGGAACGCCCGACTCGAACCCAACGTTGGCGGCGGCTCCGGAAATCGTGGAATTGGATCCCGGCGCCCTCTTCCCCAACCCCGACCTTTCCGAGCGGGAAACTTTCCGTTGGACCGTCGTTCAACAAATAAAAATGGGGAAATCCCATGGGAATTGGGGAAATCCCATGGGAATTGGGAAAATCCCACAGAAAATTATGATAACCCCACCAAAAAATGGGGAAAATTCCACAAAAAATTGGGATAACGCCACAAAAAATGGGGAAAACTCCTTAAAAAATGGGGATAAATCTTGTAAAAAATGAGGAAAACCTCACAAAAATGGGGGAAATTTTAAAAAAAATGGGAAAACCCCATTAAAAAATTGGGAAATTCCATGGGAATTGGGAAAATCCCACAGGAAATGACAAAAACCCCACCAAAAAAGGGGAAAATTCCACCAAAAATTGGGGAAAACGCCACAAAAAATGGGGAAAACTCCATAAAAAATGGGGACAAATCCCATAAAAAATGGGGACAAATCCCATAAAAAATGGGGAAAATTCCACAAGAAGCTGGAAAAACCCCACCAAAAAATGGGGACAATCCCAGAAAAACCCCCCAAAATTCCCAATTTTCCCCCTCTCCCAAACCCCAGGAACGCCCGACTCGAACCCAACGTTGGCGGCGGCTCCGGAAATCGTGGAATTGGATCCCGGCGCCCTCTTCCCCAACCCCGACCTTTCCGAGCGGGAAACTTTCCGTTGGACCGTGGTTCAACAAATCGACCCCGGGACGTCGTCGAAGAGCCGGAAGAGGAGCCCCAAATCCCAAAGTTTCTCCAACTTCAAGAGCATCATCGTGCTCCAGAAGAGCTACGAGTGCTCGGAATGCGGCAAGAGCTTCAGCTGCAGCTCCCATTTTTCCAAACATCGCCGGACGCACACCGGGGAAAAACCGTTCCGGTGTTTCCACTGCGGGAAGAGCTTCAACGTCTCTTCCAACCTCTACCGGCACCAACGCGGCCACGGCGGCGCCGAATCGGCGCCGGAAAAGCCCCGCGGGCTCCCCTATAAATGTCAGGAATGCGGGAAGAGCTTCCGGCGGAATAAAGAGTTGGCCACTCATCAACGGCTCCACACCGGGAATTTGCCCTTCCAGTGCGGCGACTGCGGGAAGAGTTTTTCCTGGAGCTCCCATTGGCTTCGGCATCAACGGATTCACACCGGGGAGAAACCCTACGAGTGCCCGGAGTGCGGGAAGAGTTTTTCAAGGAGTTCCCATCTTTACCGGCACCAACGCGGCCACGCCGGGGGTCGTTCGTACATCTGCACCTACTGCGGGCGGAGTTTCGGCAGCATCCTCCATTTCGAGCGGCACCAACGGACGCACACCGGGATGAGACCCTACAAATGTTCCCTGTGCCGGAAGAGCTTCGGCGACGCGCCGGCGTTGGTGAAACACCAACGGATTCACCTCGGCGAGGGCCCCTTCCGCTGCGAGGAGTGCGGCAAAGCTTTCGGCGCGCGCTCGCAGTACGCGCGGCACCGGCGGAGTTTCCACGGCGGCTCCGGCGCCGAGAAGCCGTACCGGTGCGGGGATTGCGGGAAGAGTTTCTCCTGGAGTTCCCACTGGGAGAGGCACCAACGGATTCACACCGGGGAGAAACCCTACGAGTGTCCCGAGTGCGGGAAGAGCTTTGGGAGGACGTCTCATCTTTACCGGCACCAGCGGACGCACGCCGGGGGTCGGCCCCACGTCTGCGGGGAGTGCGGGAAGAGTTTTAATTCCACGCTCCACTTCCAGAAGCACCAGCGGGCGCACGGAGCCGGGTCCCGGAAAAGTTGCGGCGAGTGCGGGAAATCGTTCTCGGATCCGTCGGCGTTGGCCAAGCATCAGCGGGTTCATGAGGGGTCCCAAAAAAGTGGGAAATCCGTGGATGACTCGTCAACGTTGGCCAAGAATCAACGGGTTCAAGAGGAGTCACAAAAAAGTGGGAAATCCTTGGTTGAGTCATCAATGTTGGCCAAGAATCAACGGGTTCAAGAGGAGTCACAAAAAATCGGGAAATCCGTGGATGACTCGTCAACGTTGGCCAAGAATCAACGGGTTCAAGAGGAGTCCCAAAAAATTGGGAAATATGTGGATGACTCGTTAACGTTGGCCAAGAATCAACGGGTTCAAGAGGAGTCCCAAAAAAGTGGGAAATCCTTGGGTGATTCGTTAATTTTGGCTAAAAACCAACAGGTTCACGAGGAGTCAGAAAAAAGTGGGAAATCCTTGGTTGAAACCCAAAAATCCTGCTCGGAATGCGGGAAATCCTTCTCGGATCCATCGGCGTTGGCCAAGCATCAACGGGTCCATGAGGATTCCCAAAAAATTGGGAAATCCTTGGTTGAATCCCAAAAAAGTGGGAAATCCTTGGATGAATCCCAAAAAATTGGGAAATCATTGGAAATGCGGGAAATCCTTCTCGGATCCATCGGCGTTGGCCAAGCATCAACGGGTCCATGAGGATTCCCAAAAAAGTGGGAAATCCTTGGTTGAATCCCAAAAAAGTGGGAAATCCTTGGTTGAATCCCAAAAAAGTGGGAAATCCTTGGTTGAATCCCAAAAAAGTGGGAAATCCTTGGTTGAATCCCAAAAAAGTGGGAAATCCTTGGTTGAATCCCAAAAAATTGGGAAATCGTTGGATGAAACCCAAAAATCCTGCTTGGAATGCGGAAAAACCTTTGGAGACCCTTCAGCGTTGGCCAAACATCAGCAGATCCATGAAGAATCCCAAAAAATTGGGAAATCTTCGGATGAATCCCAAAAATGTGGAAAATCCTTGGTTGATTCGTCGACGTTGGCCGAACATCAACGGATTCATGAGGATTCCCAAAAAATCTGCTCGGAATGCGGAAAAACCTTTGGAGATCCTTCAGCGTTGGCCAAGCATCAACGGCTCCATGAAGAATCGCAAAAAATTGGGAAATCCTTGGATGAATCCCAAAAATCCTCCTCGGAATTGGGAAAAACCTTTGGAGACCCTTCATCGTTGGCCAAGCATCAACGGCTCCATGAGGGATCCCAAAAAATTGGGAAATCCATGGATGAACCCCAAAAATGCGGAAGAACCTTCGGAGATCCTCCATCGTTGGCCAAGCACCGACGGTTCCAAGATTCCGGCCGGAATTTCGGGATGGGATCCCAACTCCGGAGGAACCTCCGGAGTCACGGAGAGGAGGAAATGCCGGAAGGGTGAAACGGAAAAAAAAATTGGGAATTTTTTCCGACGTTCCCGGCCGTAGTTTTGGGTAGGGTAGAGTAGGAAAGTAGGGTAGAAATGGCAAAAAAAAAAAAAAATTGAATTTCCGTTTTTTCCGTGAGTTTTCCCAGAAAAAATAAAAATCAGCGGGATGGATTTGGAGAAAATCCTGGAATTTTGGGTGGTTTTGGAATTTTTTTGGGGGGGGGGAAAGGCCCCGATCCGGAGGTTTTGAAGAAAATCGGGAATTCCGGGCGGTTCCGTAATTTATTGTATTTATTCAGCCGGAAGATCCCGAAAAATCGGGAAGGAAATCCCAAAATGAGGATGGAAAATCGGGGAAAAAAATGGATTTGATCCCAAAAATCTTCATGGATTGGGGTGGGAGCCAAACGGGAATTCCGGGGTTTTTCCCTGGGGGTTTTTTGGGATTTTTTTGGAATTTTCTTCTTTGTTTGTAATGTGAATAAAAAATAGATTTAGTGAGGAATTCGTGGAATTTTTCTTTGGAGATGAAATGGGGGGAAACTGGGAATAATCCCTGGGAAAATTGGGAAGTTTTGGGAATTTTGGGGGGAATTTTGGGGCAAATCTTTGGGAATTCTGTGGGAATTTGGGGATTTTTTTGGGGCAAATCTTCAGGAATTGTTTGGGGCTATTTTGGGAAGTTTTTTGGCTTTTTTTGGGCATCCCTTGGGATTTTTTTGGGGGCAAATCTTTGAGAATTCTTTGGGAATTTTTTCGATATCTAGGGAATTGTGGGGGCAAATCTTTGGGAATGTTTTGGGATTTTTGGGGGCAGATCTTTGGGAATATTTTGGGCATTTTTTGGGCATCCCTTGGGCATTTTTGGGGGCAGATCTTTGGGAATTCTTTTGGCACTTGGGGATTTTTTGGGGGGGCAAATCTTTGGGGAATTCTTTGGGAATTTTGGGGTAAATCTTTGGGAATTTCTGGGCGATTCCTTGGGTTTGGGATTAGAACCGGGTCGGGATCAGTTTTGGGATCGGGACCGGGATCGAGTCCGGGATCAGGTCCGGACGGGGATCGGGACCAGGATCTGATCCAGTTTGGGACCGGGAGCGGGATTCGAACCGGGTCTGGACCGGGAGCGGGATTCGAACTGGATCGGGATCAGTTTTGGGATCAGTTTTAGTTTCGGGATCGGCACAGGGAGATCCCCAAAACCGGCGAGTCCCAAATTCCTCCCAAATCCAGCCCAAATTGTCCCGAAATCATCCCAGAATTATCCCGAAATTCTTCCTCAAATCATCCTAAAATTGCCCCCAAATCCCCCCAAAATTCCCTCCAAATCATGCCAGAATTATCCCAAAATTATCCTAAATTTCCCCCCAAATCCACCCCAAAATTTTCCCCAAATCCCCCTAAAATTTCCCCCAAATCCACCCCAAAATTTTCCCCAAATCCCCCTAAAATTTCCCCCAAATCCACCCCAAAATTTTCCCCAAATCCCCCTAAAATTTCCCCCAAATCCACCCCAAAATTTTCCCCAAATCCCCCTAAAATTTCCCCCAAATCCACCCCAAAATTTTCCCCAAATCCCCCTAAAATTTCCCCCAAATCCACCCCAAAATTTCCCCCAAATCCCCCTAAAATTCCCTCCAAATCATGCCAGAATTATCCCAAAATTATCCTAAATTTCCCCCCAAATACACCCCAAAATTCTTCCCAGATTATCCCAAAATCCCCCCAAAATTTCCCTCCAAATACTCCCTAAAATTCCCCCAAATTTACCGCAAAATAACCCAAAATTTTCCCCCAAATCATCCCCAAAATTCCCGCCCCAAAATCTCCAAACTATCCCAAAATTTCCCCTAAAATTTCCCCCAAATCCCCCTGAAATTATCCCAAAATTCCCTCCAAATCATTCCAGAATGATCCCAAAATTATCCCAAAATTCCCCCCAAATCCACCCCAAAATTCCCCAAAATAATCCCAAAATCATCCCTGAATTGCCCTCAAATCATCCTAAAATTACACCAAAATTCCCCCAAATAATCCCAAAATTACCCCAAAATTCCCCCCCAAAAATCCTCAAGTTATCCCAAAATTTCCCCTAAAATTCCTCCAAATCCACCCCAAAATTATCCCCAAAATCCACCCCAAAAATCGGGATAAAGCCCCCCAAAAAGCCCCAAAATTCCCGAAATTTTTGGGATCCTGAGGGGTTTTTTTGGGATTTTCCAGGCTCGGATTTGGGATTTTGGGGGATCCCCCAAATTTGGGGTGAAGATGCAGGAGAATTACGAGAACGTCATTTCCTTGGGTAAGAGGATCTCGAAATTTTGGGAATTTTTGGGGGGAAAAGGGAATTTTTTTGAAGGGAATTTTGGGATTTTTTGGGGAATATTTTTAATATTTTAAATATTTTTAAATTTTGACATTAAAATAAAATTAAATTTATAAGTTAAGTTTTATTTTTTTGAAATTATTCCAAAATATTTTAAAATATTTTGGGAGGGGTGGGAATTTTGGGAATTCCCTAAGGAATGAATTTGGGAATTTTTTGGGAGCTCCTGGGGCAAAATTTCGTGGAATTTTGGGATTTTTTGGGGGAATTCTTGAGGCAAAATCTAAAAATTAAATTTTAGGAACCTTCAAAATTCTGTATGGAATTTGGCTGCCTCAGTTTCCCCAGAATGCTTTTCCCCCTAAAAAATCCCCAAAATTTGGGGATTTCACCCCGAAACGGAGCTGAGGTGAGAAAATGGGGTGTGGGAATTTCCCAAAATTCCCAAAAATTCCCGATTTTTCCCCCAAAAGCCGAGGAGATCGCCATCAGCTGGCCGCGGATCACCGCCTTCGCCGAATCCCCCCCCCCGGCGCCGCCCCCTCCCCCGGGGGTCTCGGGCGATGGGGGAGGGGCGGAGCCGGATCTGCGCCGGCAGCTGGGGCTGATCCTGCAGACGGCCGGGAGGAGCCAGGTGGAGAAAATGCTGCGGGAATTGGTGCGGGAGCAGGGCCAGGCCGGAAAACGCCGGAACCGGAGGAGGACGGCCAAAGATGAGGGTGAGTTTGGGGGGGTTTTCCCAAAAAAAAAATCCAAAAAAATGGGGTTTTCCCAAAAAAAATTCCAAAAAAATGGGGTATTTCCAAAAGAATTTAAAAAAAAAAAGGGTTTTCCCAAAAAAAAAATTGGTTTTTGTTAAAAGATTCCCGCCAAAAAAAGGGTATTTCTCAAAAAATTAACCAAAAAATGGGTTTTTCCAAAAAAATTTCCCAAAAAATGGGTTGTTCCCAAAAATTTTTTTTAACAAAAGGTTTTCCGAAAAGAATTCCCACCCAAATATGGTTTTTTTCCAAAAAAAAAGGGCTTTTCCCAAAAAAGTCGCAAAAAAATGGGATTTTCCCATAAAAATTGCCAAAAAAGGGGTTTTCCCAAAAAAGTCGGCAAAAAAATGGGATTTTCCCATAAAAATTGCCAAAAAAGGGGTTTTCCCAAAAAATTCCCCCCAAAAAAGAGTATTTCAAGAAAAAAGCCCAAAAAATTGGTTTTCCCCAAAAATTCCCTAAAAAACTGTGTTTTTCTCCAAAAAACCTGATTGTTCCCAAAGAGTTTGGGGTTTTTTGGGAATTTTGGGGTCGACCAGTCCAATGGTCAACATCAACCCAATCCATGGATTTCCGTGGAAAAATTTGGGGTTTTTTTGGGGAATTTTGGGGTCAACGGATCCATGACCAAGGTCAATGATCAACGTCAATTCAATCCATGGAATTCCATGGAAAAATTTGGGGGTTTTTTGGGGAATTTTGGGGTGAACGGATCCATGACCAAGGTCAATGATCAACGTCAATTCAATCCATGGAATTCCATGGAAAAATTTGGGGGTTTTTTGGGAATTTTGGGATTGACCAGTCCATGACCAAGGTCAATGGTCAACATCAACCAAATCGTGGAATTTCATGGAAAAGTTTGTGGGTTTTTGGGAATTTCGGGGTCAACCGGACCATGGCCAAGGTCAATGGTCAACATCAACCCAATCCATGGATTTCCGTGGAAAAATTTGGGGTTTTTTTGGGGAATTTTGGGGTCAACGGATCCATGACCAAGGTCAATGATCAATGTCAATTCAATCCATGGAATTCCATGGAAAAATTTGGGGTTTTTTTGGGAATTTTGGGAGTCAACGGATCCGTGGCCAAGGTCAATGGTCAGCATCAACCAAATCGTGGAATTTCATGGAAAAGTTTGTGGGTTTTTGGGAATTTCGGGGTCAACCGGACCATGGCCAAGGTCAATGGTCAACATCAACCCAACCCATGGAATTCCATGGAAAAATTTGGGGGATTTTTGGGGAATTTGGGAGTCAACGGATCCATGGCCAAGGTCAATGGTCAACATCAACCCAACCCATGGAATTCCATGGAAAAATTTGGGGGATTTTTGGGGAATTTGGGAGTCAACGGATCCATGGCCAAGGTCAATGGTCAACATCAACCCAACCAATGGATTTCCATGGAATAATTTGGGGGTTTTTTTTGGAATTTTGGGGTTGACCAGTCTGTGGCCAAGGTCAATGATTAAGGTCAACCCAACGAATGGAATTCCATGGAAAAATTTGGGGTGAGATTGGAATTTTGTGTGTCAGCGGATCCATGGCCAAGGTCAATGAACAACGTCAACACAATCCATGGAATTCCATTAAAAATTTGGGGTTTTTTTGGAATTTTGGGGTTGACCTGTCCATGACCAAGGTCAATGGTCAACGTCAACCCAACCAATGGATTTCCATGGAATAATTTAGGGTTTTTTTGGGAATTTTGGGGTTGACCAGTCCATGACCAAGGTCAATGGTCAACATCAACCCAACCAATGGATTTCCATGGAATAATTTAGGGTTTTTTTGGGAATTTTGGGGTTGACCAGTCCATGACCAATGTCAATGGTCAACACCAACCCAACCCATGGAATCCATGAAAGAGTTTGCGCTGCAATTCACGTTCTCCCACTCCGGTGCAGGCGCCGGCGCCGGGAGCGGCCCCGAAGATGACCCCACCCCTCCGTCCACCCAAGACCCTCCCCCACCTCAACCCCAACCCGATCCCGACCTTCCGTCCACCGCCACGAACCGGAAAGCCGCCGGAAGCTGCTCGGAGTGCGGCAAAAGCCCGGCCAAACCCCGGCGCTGCTCCGAGTGCGGCCGGCGCTGCCGCCGACCGGAACGTCCCGGCGCCGACTCGGCGGAGGAGAAGCCGCACCGCTGCGGCGACTGCGGCAAAGCCTTCAGCCGCGGCTCCAACCTGGCGCAGCACCGGCGCATCCACACCGGCGAGCGGCCTCACCGCTGCGGCGACTGCGGCAAAGCCTTCAGCCGCGGCTCCAACCTGGCGCAGCACCGGCGCATCCACACGGGCGAGCGGCCTCACCGCTGCGGCGACTGCGGCAAAGCCTTCAGCCGCGGCTCCAACCTGGCGCAGCACCGGCGCATCCACACCGGCGAGCGGCCTCACCGCTGCGGCGACTGCGGCAAAGGCTTCATCCAACGCTCCGACCTGGAGCGGCACCGGCGCGTCCACACCGGCGAGCGGCCGTACGCGTGCGGCGACTGCGGCAAACGCTTCAGCGTCAGCTCCCACCTGGACCGGCACCGCCGCACTCACGCCGGCGGGCCGGGCCCGCCCGAGCAGCCCCGCGCCAAAACCAAAACGCCGGCGGCCGCGGCGGAATCGGCGCCGTACCGCTGCCCGGATTGCGGGAAGAGCTTCGGGCAACGCTCGGCGCTGGCGAAACACCGCAAGACTCACACGGGCGAGCGGCCGCACCGCTGCGGCGACTGCGGCAAGAGCTTCAGCCGCGGCTCCAACCTGACGCAGCACCGGCGCATCCACACCGGCGAGCGCCCGTTCGCCTGCGGCGACTGCGGCAAAGGCTTCATCCAACGCTCCGACCTGGAGCGGCACCAGCGCGTCCACACCGGCGAGCGGCCGTATTCCTGCGGCGAGTGCGGCAAGAGTTTCAGCGTCAGCTCGCACCTGGACCGGCACCGGAAAATCCACGCCGCCGAACGCGCCTCGTACCGGTGTCCGGAGCACCTGGCCGGGTTTTTGGCGGCTCACCGGCACGGGAGGCTCTTCCAGTGCGGGCAGTGCGGGCGGTGTTTCGGTCAAGGCGCGGCGTTGTTGAAGCATCAACGCTCTCACGGCGCCGCGGCGCCGAAATGCCTGGATTGCGGGAAAAGCCGGGGGTTGTGCCAGGATTGCGGGCGGCAACCGGAAACGGCGCCGGAGAAGCCGTACAAGTGCCAGGAATGCGGGAAAAGCTTCGGGCAGCGCTCGGCGCTGGTGAAACACCGGCGCATCCACACCGGCGAGAAACCCTACAAATGCCCCGATTGCTCCAAAGGCTTCATCCAAAAATCCGACCTCACCATCCACCGGCGGATGCACACCGGCGAGAAACCCTACAAGTGCCAGGAGTGCGGCAAGTGCTTCAGCGTCTCCTCCAACCTCTTGACCCACCAGAGGACGCACCTGGGCGAGAAACCCTTCCAGTGCTCCGAGTGCGGCAAGAGCTTCATCCAACGCTCCGAGCTCACCATCCACCGGCGCGTCCACACCGGCGAGAAGCCCTACAAGTGCCCCGAGTGCGGGAAGTGCTTCAGCCGCAGCTCGCACCTCAACCGGCACCAGCGCACCCACGGCAAAGCCGCCGCCGCCGCCTCTTCCTCTTCCTTCCCTGCCTCCTCTTCCTCCTTCTCGTCCTCTTCCTTCTCTTCTTCTTCTCCTTCCTTCTCTTCCTCCTCCTCCTCCTCGGCCTTCCCGGCGTTCCCGGGCTCCTCGGCCGTGCCGGCGGCGTTGGAGCTGCCCTGGGCGTTGGCGTTGCCGGGCCGGGCGTTCCCGGGGTTTCCGGTGGGTAATTAGGGAGGTGGTTAATTAGGGG